GAAGAAGCAATGATGGAATCAGGTACAGGGCCGAGACGTATGTAGATTTTTTTCATGTCCATGAAGCTATAGCTGCAGCGGGAAAATCTGGCTGGCACGGTCCCTAGAAAGAAAATGTTTGGTCGGATGCGGCAGTCAATGAGGGATATATTTTTTTACGTTAAGACGGTATGGCTATGGGACACTGAATATTCTAGACACTAGCTTTCTGGCGGCTCTCTGAACCTTTTTGAGTGAGTCGTGATCGCCCACAAGCGCAGAGCACGCATTTTGGGCTGCTTATTCCAATGGTGATCTTACGTTGATAACATATAGAATTGCAGCGTGTTCTTCAATAATGCGAGGGAAGGATTTCAGTACCCCGAATGCTTTTTTCTGGCTTTCTGGTGGTGACGTGAAAATGAGAGTGATTTATTTAATCAAAAGCCCTAGATATATTTTGGTTGACCTTTCGAATTTGGGATGTGCTACACATTTGGAAGGTGTGAGCGCAGACCCGGTCAATGGACATGCCCATACATTTGCCGTCATTTATCGGGAGAATTTAGTCGGATGATCATGACTTGGTGATATTCATGGCCGTCTGAATCGCTGAGGTTTCATTTCCTCAAATTGTGGCATTAGGATGTGGGGTGTGATTTTGTCCCGAAAATCTTCGGCGTACTGATTGAAAAAGAGGGGACCAAGGACGGAAGCCTGGGAACACTTATTGTCATCGGGGAAGAGTTGGAGAAAGGTGCCAGGTCTAACTGAGAAGGGACGATATTATAAGAAGCTTCCGAGATGAATCAGGAGCCTACTACTAAAACCATACGTTTCCAGTTTGTGCACTAATGGAGAATGCAGAAGTTGGTCAAAGGCTGTGGCAAAATCCATGCAGAGTACGTGTGAGATTGTACTATCATAGGCCTGGGTTGGCCTTTCAATGACACACCCTATTAGTGCTGCACGATTTTCAAGACGATCAACAAAGACGTGTTGAAACGGAGATGGAAGGTTATTTTCTTTTAAATATTCAAGGATATGCCTCTCAATAACACTTTGGTGAGGCCGTGGGCCCTTTTCGCGTACTGGTGATCTGAATGGCGTTTTCCAAGAATCAGGGAATTCACCTCTATCTACCCAGTTCTAAAATAGCGAAATGCAATGTGGATTGTTCTGGAGTCTGACGAGTACCCCATCTGAACCCATTGAGCTAAAATAGCTCTGCTGACGTGACACGTGATTCTTCGGACTTGACGACGAATTGCTCACGGGGGTCATATCTGACGTAGCATGTAGATAGGGAGACAAAATGGACGGAACGAAGTTAAGAGCTGCGTGAGAGTGGTTCCGGAATGTATCCGATTTTTTTAAAGTAAGGTATTAAAAATCGAAAGAAATTTGAAAAGCAAGGGTAAAGAGAATAAAAACTCTAGTGTGTCGAAGAATTCCAAGAGATCGAGAAGGGCTTGTTCTTGCCATCACTAAGATGTCATTTTTTTGTTGGCTGAAGAATTTCCTTATCCTACCCTTACGTTGGTTAATGATGAATGTGAATTTATCCACATCTTCATCAATGCCAGTTATTAAACCTAGCGCAGAGGACTTTCCTTTCGTCCAAAAGTCGATGTACTGAATGCGGCAGAGTAGTATTTCTCTTGGTCGGTGAATAGATTTTGAGAACGAACAAGCCATTGATTCTTCGGAAAACAATTTTCATGTGATCGTTTAGTTGATTGATTTCGTGAGATGAGGTGACGGAGGCAAGACATTGGAAGAACAACTTTGTGATCGTCTCATTGCTAGAATCAACAACATCTCATTACAACGTTAGATGTTGGAAAAGAAAGAAATCACGTTTACAGAGGCTCGAAAACTCTGTGAGCAGAGTGATGATTTGTGTGCTGCCACAAATGCGGGTACTCCTGTGTTATTCCATCGGCAATCGACCAAACCATTACGTGACGCACCCAATGTTCATAATTCAGCCCAGGTTTCTCAAGTTCCCAGAGCAAGCCGAATACAACCGAAGGCTGCGACCAACCGCTGCTTTTCAGGGGGTGAATATCATCTTCGTTCGACGTGTCGATTCCACAATTCCACTTGCCATGCATATGGTAAGATGGGCCATATCCGGAAGGTATGCCGAATGCCCAAGTGCAACCTCATCAATTCCCGTATCCCAACGGCAGATGAGACTTCAAGCCCAATCTACACGCTGCAGACTACTGAACCCAACATCCAGTTCGTGTTCGCTTCGCTGAGGTCCGAGTTTAGCGTGGAGCATCCATTCATCACGGACACCGGAAGCAGCGAATCTATCCTACCGAAATCAGCACTCACTGCGACTTTTCTCAATGCTGTTCTAGCCCCGACTTCTGTGCGTATTCATGGGGTT